ACACGAGTGCGCACAGTATGAAGCCGAAACAACGTGTGAGATAGATAGATCACCAACGCGCTCGCCCCTCTACTACCTGCTTCCCTGCCCCTCTACCCGCTCACGTATATTCGGGTTACCTGTCGCTAAGAGCGGAGGATCACACAAACAGACAGGATTTTTGTTTAATTTCATTTTATTTCATTTGATAAGTAGCCTACTACTTATATTCCCTAAGGATATTAAGAACGTTATTACTGCAATATGAACATAAACAAAGTTAGATTAGCTCTAACTTTTTTTAATAGTTCTTAAATAGTACGTACTATATGATATGTACATAATCTACACATTACTTATTTGTTACATGTGTTAAATATGAAAAAACCCGAATATTTTCCCATTCGGGAATTTTCCCCGGGTTTTTTCCCGGTTTTTTCCCATATTTTTTTTTTTTCCGGGTAAAATCCCATCTCTATTCAAGATCCATCTTTTATATCTGCTCTCAATAATATTGAGAAACAAGCATGGAACGCTTTTGTCGATGTCACTAACAATTTCCTTGGTAACAAGAAATCTGAAGATTTTCGCAAAAAAATAAAAGTTTTATTGGACTGCTACTATATAATGGGATGCAATATGTCACTTAAGTTGCATTTTCTTCACTCGCATTTGGACTTTTTCCCTGAAAATATGGGATCAGTCAGTGACGAACATGGCAAAAGCTTTCACCAAGATGTTGTTGCATTTCAAAAGCGATTTCAAGGCTGATGGGAGCCTGCTATGCTCGCGGATTACTGTTGTAGCCTTATTTGAGAGACCCCTGCTACTGAGTACAAGAGAAAAGCCAGCTACTCCAAAAAAACTACGCCATTTCAATTAAAATTACAATAAAATTATAGAAAATTTGAGATTTCGGACATGGATGTTTATCTGGACATTGAGATGTGATGGTGTGTGTATATTTGCATATTTTTATTACTTTAGTGGCAAGAAATAGTAGTCACATAATGCGACCTCAGATAATCAAAAGTTGAAAATTTGTTGAGTAGTGTTATTTGTAATTTTGTTAGAATGCAATAATGTCAATGAATTTATAATTATTCATACCACTGACGTCAAAAAATTAATGTCAAATTAGATATATAATGTAAAAAAGTAATTGTCAATTATATTATAGAATGTGTGTCATTGTGAATATGAGTGTAATTTATGCAAAATCTATACAAATTAAAATTGGTTGTAAATTTCAACCATAAATCGAAGCTGTGTGTCAAATAAATAATATTTGATAATATAAAAAAAACATTTCAGTAATGCTTACCAGAAAGGAATCGTTGCAACGTTCTCGTAAAAATGCGACTGGGTCCTTGTGACCAAACTTAGCGATTGGAACAGGCTCGCCAACCATGTTGCGGTAGTCACGAAGCAAACTGCACACATCCATTTGTGTTGGGCTCGATACCACTAGAGACCGCAACAGGGACTTTAATTGTTTCATTTCATCTTCCATTTTATAAATATAACCTGTAATAATTATATTTTTGTTAACAATAACTTAAACCAAAATGTTTACTCTGTTGTTTTGTTTCCACATATATCCAAAATTTAACTATTTACACACACAACTCAAGAATACTCCAAATTCACCTCTTTACTTGGTGCGTTATTTATTGTCATTTGTGTAGTAAGCAAACTGACATTGTGAGGGCATTACTGTCGTTACGGTTATGGCGCTAATCTGGACGGCACTAGGAAAAACAATGTTTCATTGTTCAGTTGCGCGTGGGCCTCTGCAATACATAAGTGACGTTATAGCACTGGAGGTACGATATGTCTTCCTATTGACTAATGTAACAGTTCTGTACCATTCTATTCAAATCTATTTGTATACATTACAACTCTGTGCAGTGTGCAGGCTAATCTTTGGAACTAATATATATGAAACTTTTTTGTTTATATAGGTAATAGGCCAGGGCAACATATAAATGTAATTGCTTTTAGAAATTGGAACAATAAAACTCTGCCTAAAGCCAATATTCTACGTGGAGGAAGTTGTGGGCACCAGCTAGTAAACAAAATATAAACAAGCACTTTTCAAGTAAGTATTTTATGCCGTATACTTCTCCATAAGGACAGAGGCATTTGCAGAGCAATCGCATAGTTCACAAGCTTAAAATATTATGTCCGTATATTTATTTTTTTACTGTTCATGATATATGTTTATATATTTTTTATATATATATTGTT